CCCAAAACTTCAACTTGAGCGGCTTTATCCAAAACCCTCCGATGATCACGTTTTTTATTTGCAGCAGATCTAAATAGTTTGAGTAAATTTAGTAACAATGTCCAAAACGTGCCTATGCGAAGTTATCTTCCCCGGATGTCTGGCGTTAAACGTGGCGGCAGTTAGCCAAGCACATTGATTTTCGGCACCACAAGTTAGAATCATTTCCAGTCCTTCGGCTAGTGTGTAAGCGATTTTGGAAGTAAAATCTGAATCAATAAATTTATTCTCACTATCCCAAGATTGTCACAAAGGTAACTGGCAGCAAATCAAATTCTTTCTTTCCCTCATCAACAAATAAGTAAGCAGGTATAACAATAAATGCAGTTCGACCAGGGTATTTGTGTTGATGAAAAGAACGCGGAAAAAATTCGGGTTGTTATTTGGTTGTTGCCACGTCTAACCTTCCTAATTGCTGTTTATGTTGGTAGTTTCCGTTTTAAATTATAAACGAATTGTAGATTTGGCAAACAGTAACGGACAAAATTTTGAACACTTATTGAAATAAAAAGTGATATTTTCGTGTGTTTTTGTTTTTTATCTGAACAAATTGAGATAAATAAAGATTTTTCTAACTGTCTCGAAAACGAATCGACTGATTTTAAAAAATCAAAAATTAGAATAAAAAGACCTTTCAACAAGCTATTACTCGGTACCTCTTGTCATTTGAAGTTTTTAAGGGAATGGCCCTGGGGGCGAGGGCGAAAGGGGTTGGTAGTGGTTGACGCCCTTGATAAATCTTTTGACGTGCCTTGGCGTTTTTTTTATCAGCGGTTTTCGATAAATCCGTGGTGGGAAGTTTTCAAATGAACACGCTGTATGAAATTACCAAACAAGTTATTTGGGATCATAAATAACAAAAATCAGATATAATAAAATAATAAAATAGAAAAAATGGCTTTTAAAAACAAGTTGTTAATAAAATGAACATGAAATTAAAAATAATATTTCCGATTGTAATTATTTAAACAATGATGAAGCTCCTTCATCTCAGGTTTTCAAATAAAAGCGTGTCAAGTTTCAACATCAGGATAGAAAAAGGGTGTACCATGCTTTCATCTGAAAACTTGATATAACGGAGCTTCATTGTCGTTTGAATATTTACAATCGAAAAATTATGTTCATTTTATTTTCAGGTATATAAAAGCTTCTTTTTTATCTTATTTATTTAACCCGAGAACAAAGATCTTGATTCTTGACATTACAAAGAAATTCAAGCCAGATGAAATGTTTGTTCTATAATCATGTCAGAAATTATTCCGGTATTTCAAATTGAGCCTCCACCGCTTGAGAAGGGTGGTGAAACATAGAATTCGAATGTGAATTCTAACAACGAAAATGGAGAGATATATTGTTTTCAGGCTTAGCGGAGTAGTTTGGGAAGTTTAGCGAGGTAGGAAAACAGTAATTATACAGGGTGTTCCTTAACGATATGTCAATATTTAAGGGTGTGAATCTACATGCAAAATTAATGTTACTTTGCTCTATAAACTATGGTCCAAAAATGTTTCATTACTAAAACTCGGAGTGTTTTAGTTTTCGGAAAAAAATGGAAATTAATTAATATTTTCAGAACCGTTTCAGATATTCCACTGATACTTAGTACGTAGTGGAAGCTAATAAAGTTGCATATTTTTCAATGCAAAAATAATTTTTAGCTTTAACAGTGGCGTGCATACGCGTATTGACTTCGATATTATTTAGGAAAAAAATGGTTTTTTGCCAAATAAAAATTATTTTTGAATTCCCTCAATTTTCTTCAACAACAGTTACCTTTGCTGCTTGATGATGTTCCGTTAGTAATAAGAAACAATATGTGGTACCTGCATGATGGTGCACCAGCGCATTTCAGTGTAGCGCTTCGTAATTATTTACAAACTGTTTATCCAAATCATTAGATTGGCCGCGGTGGGCCCCAAGAATGGTCATCAAGGTCCCCAGACCTCAATAGTTTAGATTTCTTTTTGTGAGGCTATCTTAAGACACTAGTGTACACAGGTCCCATTAACACTGTAGAGGAATTAAGAGAAAGAATAGTTGCAGCTTGTGATAGAATAAAATAACACTCCAGGGATATTTCAACGAGTGCGCAATTCCATGAGAAGGAAGGGGGCCATTTTCAACAATTTTTGAAATCATTCCGTTGGTTTGAATGTCATGTTTATGTTGTCAGTTGTTGTTGTTTATTACCCCTAATGTGTTAAATTAATAATAAGTTTGCAAGTTAGACAATAGAACGGTTTTTATTTTTTTTACTCAAAAATGGCGCATCGAAGGAAAATAACTCAAGAGAGATCATTTGTTTTAAATTTAAAAATACCGCAAAAAAACATTGGCGTGCCACTTTTTTCTTAAAAAATATTGAAGTCAATACTCGTACGCACGACATTGTTAAAGCTAAAAATTATTTTTGCATTGAAAAATATGCAACTGTATTAACTTTCACCACGTACAAAATATCAGTGAAATATCTGAAGCCTTTCTGAAAATATTAATTAATTTCCATTTTTTTCCTGAAACTTCAACACACTGAGTATTTGTAAGGGAACATTTTTAGACCATAGTTTATAAAGCAAACTAACATGAATTTTTCATGTAGATTCACATCCTTAAATATTCGCATACCATTAAGGAACACCCTGTATATAGCTTGCATTTGAAAAACGTGTCGGTACCATCCTCATAGTTATTTAGAACATCAAGTTAAGACTTCATTGTTCAGAAAATATCTTCGCATCTGCCCAGAAACATATTCTGGCTGTTTTTTGCATAATCTTATTAAATAAATAATAATAGTTTAAAAAACTAAAAAAACACGCCTTTATAGCTAACCGAACAAAAAAATAGAAAATAATTTTTAATTACAAAAAGTTTATATTACACTAGTAGATGGTCAAACAGTCAATCATAACACTGATCAACAGCCAAAAAATATCCTAAATAAAATAAACAAAATATTACTATTTTTAATGTGCTAAAACCGGAATGAAACTTATTTTTTCAATATTAGTTCAAGTTTTAGAGATACGGTAATTATATGTGTTCCTGCTGTGACAGTGTTAATATACTGTAATTCACAAGAATGCACGTGCTACATTTTTATATTCGGCAAGGAAAGATGATGTAATCGGCATGATTGTGTTACGTTATACATACGTGTACATTATATTGTTTTATATTAGCCATTTTTTCCTCAGTTGGCTGACAGCGTTCATGCAAGATGTCTCGAAAGTGTGTAAACAATCCAGATCAGTTTTGTTACGTGTGTGGTGATGTGACTTTTGCGTCTCAGAGACGGTCTATTATTCCACTAATAACAAAGGCATATCAGCTTTATTTCGGTTGTAAACTAGGTGATCAAGACAAACAGTGGGCACCCCACATCTGCTGTAATACATGTGATTCAAGTCTGAGGAGCTGGTTTAGTGGCAAAAAACGGTCTATGCGCTTTGCTGTCCCAGTGGTTTGGAGAGAGCCTACAAATCATATTAATGATTGTTACTTTTGCATGGTACCTTGTGTTGGACAAGCCACAGGTATGTCCAAGAAAAAAAAAATCGGTTATTAACTACCCAAACATACCATCTGCGATGCGACCTGTGCCTCACAGTGACGAAAATCCTATTCCAAAACCCCCAGAATCCTACACTTGCGAATCAGAAAACGAATCAGATCATGGCGATCGAGTGATTCGTCAAGAAGAAGATATGCCATCAACGTCAAGAGATCCTGATTTTATACCGAGCACGTCATGCCACCAACCGCACAAAACAACATAATCAGAATTAAATGATCTTGTAAGAGATTCAGAACTTCCAAAATGTAAGGCAGAGTTACTTGGATCAAGACTGCAGCAGTGGAACTTGTTAGAAGACGATGTTTCGGTATGTGTTTTTCGTAAACGCCACAAAGACTTAGAACCATTTTTCAATATGGAGAATAACTTGGTTTTCTGCAGTAACATTAACGGCTTACTGGCCGCTTTAAGTATAAACTATAACCCAGAAGAATGGAGATTGTTTATAGACAGTTCAACATTGAGTTTAAAGGCAGTGTTATTGCATATTGGAAATATTTCACCATCTCTTCCTTTAGGGTATGCAGTTCACATGAAAGAATCATATGACAATATGAAGTACCTATTGACATGCATAAAATACGATGAGCACCAATGGCATATTTGTGGCGATTTGAAAGTTGTTGCACTTTTACTTGGGCTGCAGCTAGGCTACACAAAGTTTTGCTGTTTTTTGTATGAATGGGACAGTCGGGCAAAGGCACTTCATTACACCAGACAAAACTGGCCTGTTCGTCAATTCCTAAACCCTTGTCAAAAATATGCTGTCATCGTATCAAAAGAAATATGTCTCTTAAGATACATTTCCTACACTCACACCTGGACTTTTTTGGACAGGGCGAACGTTTTCATCAGGATATTTCAAAAATGGAAAAAAGGTACCAGGGAAAGTGGAATCCTTCCATGCTTGCAGACTACTGTTGGACTCTTGGTAGAGATGCTCCAGAAACGATCCATAAAAGAACAGCAAAAAGACAGTGCATATAGTGATTCTTATAAGTATATGAATCTTGTTACTTTTTTTAATATATCCTTAAAAATAAAAAGTTTTTTTTCTAAACCGCAACTAATTTTTTTATTTCATTGTCATTTTTGTGTACTGCCACTGAGCTACAGAGGCTTGTAGTTTTAGTATTCGTAAAGTGGCATTTGAAATCCGTGGCTTTTTATTAACATATCTGCTTTTCAGAGAATTTTACTTAGGTCTAAAGAACTAAATCAGAATATTTTTTCGAACAGATGCAAAGGTATTTCCTAGACTATCGGTACTCTTTGTCATCGATATGGCGAAACAAAATGTCCTTATCAAACATATTTTGATGACATTGCTCAAAAATGCTGTATGAAACAACCCACACGAAGAACCATTTTTTTTCAATTTCAGAATACAGCACTCCCCCATACAACTTCTCATGGATAGTGGAAGGATGTCTTGCAGGTATGGCTTGCCCATCAAACACGTCTGAAATTAGGTATTTGGTAGAAAATGGCATTGGGCATCTAGTGACGCTATCAAAAGATAGAATACCTCCGATGGATGACGATAGTATCCGAAATCATATTAAATGGACTGTGATACCGGTTGTAGAGTTTGAGCCACCTACGCTGGACGATATGAAGAAGTTTATTGCAATTTGTAAGGAACATCAAGGAAAGGTGAGAGCTACAAACACAGAGTTTCAGGTTTCAGTTGTCTGCAGAACGATCGGATCAAGTAGACTGACTCAGCACTTCCCACGTATGGATGTGAACCTATTTAACACGTTTACGACGTCGTGTACCACATGTGGTACATGACTGCTGATCTCCACAGCCGTCGTGTACCGCATGTGGTACACAGTGCGTTTTATATTTAATCCTATTTTAAAACGCCACGGTTGCATAAGAAGCTTGGAAAAGAAGTTATACAGCTATATGTAAAGGTGGGACATGACCTGTGGTACATTCGATCATATTAATACATTATACAGGGTGTTTCAGTTTATTGTTGCATAACTTTAAGATTCGATAGAACTTTTAAAATTAATGCATAAAGTCTATATAAACATGGGTCGAAAAATGCGTAGCTTCCGAAATACAGGGTGTTTAAATTTACTTTCTAAAATAGTTTCTTTTAAATATTTTGAACAATATTTGATGTATAACAGTGAAAATTGGTATACAAGGGTTTTTTGGTACGACAAAACGAACCATAGTTTTACTGTAGCCGCTAGACGGCGCTCTCTATTGTACCTGTAGTGTATTAAAATGACCGAAAATTTTTTCTTAGTGCAATTTTTTGCTTTTTGAATAAAAAAACTGAATCCCCACACTTTTCAACATAAAAAAGCTCTCCTGTGAGTTTTCGTTATACTTAGCCGTTTTTGAGATATTTCGATTTTTAAGGTTCGATGCCTTTCTAATTATTTATGGGATAATAATATTTTTTTTATATTTTCGATTTGGGCATTACAAGTAATCAAGATGCTCGTTTAGATTGTGTTTTTAAACACAGCAATAATTCCTAACTCCAAATAAACACAAAAAACAGAATATTAATTTGTTTAATTTTCCAATATTATTTTTAACAAATTAAATTAATTATTTACAACTAAAATGCTATTGCATAGTTAGGACAAACATACAAAATCTAAAGTAGTTGCTCGAAATGTAAACCCAATTGTTCAATACACAATTCACATCTACAAATGATTGAACGTGGTATAGCATTATTCAAATAAGGCCTTATTTCATCACATGCATTCCTGATTCTGTCTATTAGCATATCTCTTGTGGTTACGGGAGTCTGGTACACTTTTTCTTTTAGAAATCCCCACACAAAGAAATCTAATGGATTTAGGTCAGGGGATCGTGGAGGCCAGGCGACTGGTCCTCCACGGCCGATCCATCTTTCTGGATAATTTTCGTCCATTACGGTAGATACCAATCCACATGTTCACACTAACTTCATGCTGAAAATTTCTTTCCCGAACTGCATGCGGATGTTCATGCGACCAAATATGTTGATTATGAAAATTTACCACTCCACGTGTAGTGAAGCATGACTCATCGGTCAATAAAACGTTACTTAAAAACTCCCTATTATTATCAGTTCTATCAAGAATCCACTGACAAAATGTCATTCTTCGTTCTCCGTCCCCTGGCTATAGTCCTTGCACAGGTTGCAAATGGTAAGGACGTCGATGGTCATTTCTAAGAACACGGTGAACATGGCTTGCTGAAATTCCCAAGGCACCAGAAACTCTCCTAACACTTGTGGTCGGATCTCTATCAAACTCACGCAGAATCATACGGGTAAGTCTGCGCTGACGAAGATTTATGTTTTGACCCCTTTGGAGATTTCCAAAACAATTTTCAATTATTTGGCGATGCACTCTTACAAATACTGAGCGAGTTGGATGTCGTCTGTTTGGAAATCTTCGTGCGTATTCTCTGGCTGCTTCTGCTGCGTTTCCATTTACAAAGCCATACACAGCCTACTTCTAAAAATTATCGAGATACTGATTTTTTAACGTTATTTTATCATAAATAATTAAAAATGCATCGAACCTTAAAAATCGAAATATCTCAAAAACGGCTAACTACAACGAAAATTCACAAGAAAGCTTTTTTATGTTGAAAAGTGCGACGAATCAGTTTTTTTATTCAAAAAGCAAAAAATTGCACTAAGAAAAATTTGTCGGTCAATTTAATACACTACAGGTACAGTAGAGAGCGCCTTCTAGCGGCTACAGTAAAACTATGCCCATGGTTCGTTTTGTCGTACCAAAAAACCCTTGTATACCAATTTTCACTGTTATACATCAAATATTGTTCGAAATATTTAAAGAAAAACTATTTTAGAAAGTAAATTTAAACACCCTGTATTTCGGAAGCCACTCATTTTGCGACCCGTTCATATAGACTTTATGCATTAATTTTAAAAGTTCTATCGAATCTTAAAGATATGCAACAATAAACTTAAACACCCTGTATAATTATTTTTGACTAACTACTAAGTAAACTGGATTTTAGGAATATTTTCAATATAATTTTATTCAAGCAACCTTATTTTGTTACAGGGAAATTAAAAAAATGCAAATCTAAAAATTATTAGAAAACTAGGGTTCCAGAATGTTTTACGTTAAAGACATCCGAAATCGGCTACGTCGCGAACGTGTTAAGTGCATGAACATTTTTGACGGTCTAGGTTTTCTTAAGTAAGCCTTAAGGTGTGCAAAATGTTAGAAAACATTGAATAATGTGATGATTTCTATTCGGAAACGATGCTTTTCGACTACGCTTACAAATTATATTCTGAAAATATTTCAAAAGAAATATTTGTAGCATAATTCCGCCGCCAACAGACCGACTGTCACAAAATTGTTCAACTCTCAAATAAAACATACGAATTTTCAAGAAACTACGAGTGTCAAATCGCCCACAATCTGTGCAGATATCAGGATCGTTTAGTAAAGAAATGTATATTAAGTGTGGTGTCCCACAAGGAACTGCCTCAGGTCCACTGTTATTTAATATAAATTTAAATGATATTTTCCAATTTAATTGTGTTGGCAAAATAACCAGTTTTGCAGATGATACTGCAATACTCGTATTATATGAAAGCACTGACTGGTCTGATCTGAAAAATGTAATTGAAAATGATTTTATCAAAACTATTCGGTGGTTTAACAGTAGAAAATTAAGCATTAACTATTCTAAAATACATTTTTTACCATTTGGATCTCATGCATGACATCCGTCAAATTACACCAATTTCTCCTTCAACATTAATGATCAAAAAATGCAAATTAATAGTGTCCAACATAAAATACCTTGGAGTGGTCTTGGATCCTCACTTACGTTGGGATATCCATGTCAATTATATTTTAAAGAAAGATAGATTTGTATCCTACAAAATTAAATACCTTGGGAATATATTGACAGAAAAATATCTTCGAACATTATACCATGCACTAATTGAGCCTCATCTCACATATGGTATACTCGTATTAGCATGGGGAGCTGCATATTCCTCAAATATCTATTTATTTAGATGTTTTTCAAAAAAGTATTCTAATAATGATGTTTAAAAAACCGAAACTTTATCCCACTGACAAATTATACGCAGATGTTCGAGTGCATGATATAAGACAGCTTTATTTCTTACACAGTGTCACTCACTACCATAAAAAATTAAACATAATCATTTTACCAGGTACAAAATTCGTGGCACAGTAGTTCCTCAGCCGCATAAATCTATAATGCATCGGTCATATCTCTATTTAGCGCCAAAATTTTATGAAATTATACCTAAAGACTTAAAAGATTTACGTTTCGGAAATTGTTTCTAAAGAAATTTAAAAAAGTGGCTGCATTCTATATCTAGGACTGAAATTCATAAACTCATAAATACGAACATCAAGTAAATAGATAATCTACTGTAGCTCATTTTTGTCCTTTTTTGTCATTTGCATTCTACAGTTGCAACTTAAAATTATTGGTCCATGTACAGGCGATGCCTTCTATTGGGCCTGTTTTGATTTTATATTTATTTACTCATGTTGTTTGTTATCTTTGTACCTTGAGTGATTAAATATTATTATTATTATATTATTAGAAAGCACTGATGAGATACTGGGGAGTCTTTCGTGTAAAACTTGGAGAGTAAGTAAAAATGGGTTGTATGTTCGAGTTATCTCAATGTTCACATAGATAGATTTCCCAATACATTTGCCCTTAAAACAGAGTGAGAAAAGTTTTCGATCCGCGTCACTGCTTTGTCTGTCTCCGTGTCTTGGTAGGTGTACTGGCCTTACTGCTGCGTGACCGTGTATGACGTGTTGTGCCGTAAGATACTGGGGAGAGGCGACGTTGCCAGGTGGACTACCGGTAGGTCGGCGGAGGAATAATTGTATGAACCTAATTATTATTATTTCTCTGTTTCTTCTTCTCTGTTATATGTGTTCGCAGCTAACTCTTTTCTCAGAGAGCCTAACTTGTCCTGGTCATAATTCTTTATGAACTGATGACGGTTTTGCGTGGGAAGTGCTTAGTCAACCGATTTGACGCCATTTTTGTCTGATGTAACAGTAATTTGGTGTTAGCAAAACGAGTATTCGCATTCAAGAATATAAACTATTCCAAAAGTTCTATTTCCGACTTCCATTGTCTATACATAAATAAACCTTTTGAAAGATCTATATTGTCTACATATTTTAAGCAACATAAAATATTCCCTAGCGATGAACAAACTACAAATACTGTATCAAAGCAGTGCGATATTTGCTACATGTCAGTGATGTGCTAACATATTTTTTCCACTACTTATCGGAGAAACCACCATTATTCACCACATGGACCCATTGAGAACCAACTTTTCTCCCCTATGTAAATAATGACAGCAAAAGACCTATGTGAATAATAAATTGCACTGTCAACTTAGTTGTCAGTTTGAGAGAAACCATTTGTTCAGAAATTTTTTGAGACCAGGGGAAAATCTAGTATTAGATGATGTAGCTACCCTTCTTACGTATTTCAATAATTGGAGAAGTACTAGAAAACGACTTTTAATGCTTTGCGAGCATAAATGAGTATACAGGGTGTTTCAGTTTATTGTTGCATAACTTTAAGATTCGGTAGAACTTTTAAAATTAATGCATAAAGTCTATATAAAC